TATAAGAGCGTGCGTTTTGTCGGTACGGCGAGAGAGCAATGAAAAATGTAATGAAGCTTAGTGCTGCTGAGTGCAGTAATCCGAAAAGTTAAATAAACCAGTTTGTTACTGTTATCGACGGTATGGGAACAACCCTGCTCTGCATTGACACTCCTTACATCCTCCTTCCCTTCGGCAGCATTTTGTACCATTTAGGTAAACTAGTTTATATTATAAAAACCAATGAAATACCAGGTGACCTTTCGTGCGAAAAGATGATATCTTCACGTGAAACGATCGCCGTTGCTATGGTTACATAATAAATGGCGCCTTTCGCAGCGAAAGTGAAATGGTTTGGGATTTCATTGGTGCATATAATAAATTATATTGGTGTATGTAATAAATAGACCATTACATGGCCACTTGGAGATACGAAATTTCTCCCTCAGTCGTGAAATATTTTTCAACACTCGAAGAGAAATTTCGTATCTCCGCCTGGCCATGTAATATTGATATCCCTATTTATCTAACTCGGCTCTGATTTATACAAGTACAGATTAGAAATTAAGGAATACTAATGAGTAATTTCTTAGAAATCGATTTTGTTGACTGTTTTATTTTCGAAATGTTTTTTGTCAATTAACTGAAACGGGAAACCAACACTGGACAAACAGTGTGATTCAATTCCTGCTGAATCATTTAGTTGGTCTATTTAAATAAGTTCTTTAAAAGTGTATCAGTAATGTTTTATTGTCTCATTGTTTTAAGTCCCTTTTTAGCTTCGTAAATATTTTTATCACTAATCAACACATCTTTCATTGCATTCTACCGTTCGTGACATTTTCAATTATTTTTACTGCGGTTATATTTATGCTAGTTTTGTATTTTTTCTTTGCACTTGAGAATGTTCTCAGAGAGGTCGAAACGTCGTGACTTAAATACATTCTCAATAAAGAATAAAGTTTAGAACATCTAAGTAGGGAGTGAGCCGAGATTATCCAAATGGTAAAGGCTAATCTAGTGAATTATCCCAATAACGGCGTTAATAACGAGCTTTTTATTTTATTAACATTTTATTTCGCTATCAATTTTAGCTTGAAGCGTCATACAAATCCTTAAAATATTGCAGCCACAATTTTGACCGATGAGTAAGTTCTGATTGGTCAGAGAACCTTTTACATTTTGGTCTCAATGGAATCGGTTCATATCGTCAATAACTTACACAAATAGCCATAATTATAGCTACGACCATTACAAGCACACAGAAAATTATGAATACACTGCGCTGTATTTCTCTTTTTGCCTGCCGACCCGTTCTAGTCATGTCCAATTGCACCTTAGTTATTTCAGCATCAATATTTTCATACGGGAAGGGAATAGCCGGAGTCGTACAGGCCACGAATTCACACAATGGTTTCCATCCTTGTTTTACGTTATACACCAACAGCTTGTCAGCGGGAACCACAGACTTAACACGTTGATTGTGGAGACGATAGCGCTTTCTGAAAACATACGTGGATTTGGTATTGAGCGAGCCAAATACGGCGGTAAGGTTAGAATCCGATATGTGTGAGATCTTTCTAGCCGTTGGCGATAACATGGAAAATATGCTGCGTATGTAGGATGGTGTAACTGCCACGTTTTCAAGATGATTCATGACGCTTTTGACCCACGAGTCTTCTTCTCGTTCGCTCAAAACCACTTTACAGTCAGGAAATGATTCCAGTATTTCCTCGTAGAAAATGTTTCCCGGTATATCCACGACTGCATCAGCATTCTGATAAACTCGCTTGACATCTGGCCTGGCGCCATTTTGAAAAACATCAACCCAGTGATCCAGAAAGTCGAAAGTTTGTTCCTCCCAGTCAAACACCGTAAACCCAAGATGGCGCAGAGCTTTGGTGATCGATTTTGTACCAGTTTTATTCATTCCTGCAAATATCACCTTCATGACTTGTGGCTTTCAATTTGACAGAGATAACGTGCTGCAAGAACCGTCCGAGCTGAATGTTCCTAATGTTCATTTTAATCACGCGAACACTCACAAGCAATAGAGCAAACAAATCAAGCCTTCTGGCGTTCTATGGTTGCAATTTGATTGGTTGAATAATCATTTCCCTGTTGAGCAAGGCTTTCAAAACAGCTTACTTTAGGGAGAGAAAATATCCTGCACATATCACCTTCACCACCAGTGACTTTCTATATGATATCAAAAATATAGAGAATATAACATGAGCTTACATGGCCACGCGGAGATACGAAATTTCTCTTCGAGTGTTGAAAAGTATTTTACGAGTGAGCGCAGTGAACGAGTGAAATATTCTTCAACACGAGGCGAGAAATTTCGTATCTTCAAGTGGACATGTAATGTTCTATTTATTATATCAACACTAATGAAATCCCAAAAAATTTCACTTTCGCTGCGAAAGGCGCCATCTATTATGTAACCAAGCAACGGTGATTTTTTTCACACGTGAAGAGAACAAGTTATTTTCACTAGTGAAGATATCATGTTTCCACGCGAAAGTTCACCTGGTATTTCATTGGTTATTAGAGCGGTTTTCAATTGAGTGTGGAAAGTAACTAGACAATTACTTTGGTTTTGGTTTTGGTTTTACTACGGTTTGAGATTGGCTGAGTAGTCTAATTGGTAAGTAATTGGTTTGGTTTTGGTTTTACGACACTCAATTGAAAACCGCTCTATATCATTAATATACGATTATGTGACCACTCTTGATCACCGTTCGGGTTCACTGCAAATCACGGCCATTGAATGCTTCTATTGCTCACAAAGTTGACAAAAAAAAAACCCTTCACGTTTCTATTGTTGTCATCTGATTGGTGGAATGATTTTTCCCGTTGTGGAGAGCTGATTTTGTTAACAATGCCTACACCCTTCACCCGGGTTTAGACGAGAGCTAGTATTTTTTTTCAACCATATCTAGCTATATCTACAACCGTCACATGAAACAATGGCTAATACTTTTTCAACGGTATCTACACCCATCTAAAGTATAGACAACGCCTTAAATTCTTTTTTAATAATATCCACACCCGTCACGTGTGTAGGCTCATTTTTACTTCCGAATGCCAATGAAGATGGCATTCAGAAGTATTGCTGTGTGGGACGAATTTCACTCGGTCACTCGATCCATCCCTGTTAACTTCTTTGCTAATTCGCTAACCAGTGTACATCACTTTATCATTTTTATTTTGCTGATATACCGTTCAGATCTCTAAAGCCAAGCGTAAAATTAATGGACTTTGCTTGTAAGGCTTATTTTTGTATGTACTGAAGTTCAGTGGTTCCTTCAGAAAGGACGTCTACACCTTAGAAAGCTGTTTTTCACTGGGCTCTACCGCCTTAAGGACGTGCGCGCGAAAATGTTCCACTCGATAGATTTTCTTCAAACTTTTACTGCGGACAGATAATGAATTACTTGTTTCAGAAATGAAAAAAAAAAAAAATGGGGGTCACGGACTTCGTTTCCGAGATAAAGGGCGTGGAAAACTAGTCTGATTTTGCAAAACAATTAGCGTGAACGTCCTTTGGTATTCGATAGATCAGGGGCCCGTTTCTCGAAAGCCCCGGAAACTTTTCGGGTCCGTAAAGCGATGGCAAAATCTCGAACCTTAGATTACAGAGCTGTTTTATTCACATATTCTTAATATGAAGAGACGTTCCCTTCATACAAGAAGTTTCAGGCGTGTACACTTCTCCGTTTTAAGATACAGATCGACTACAAAATGGCTTTACGGGCCCGAAAAGTTTCCGGGGCTTTCGAGAAACGGGCCCCTGAAACGAACTAAAGCCGCCGGTAAATGTATGTATTAGACTAGATAACCTTCAGACGTATCACTGATCGTTGTTGAATTTAGTAGCTTCTGAAGATGTGTCCTAGGAATCGCCATCTTCTTCTTCTTACATCTTCACTCAACCTCTCCACGTTAGCCCTTTCGAGTAGCTCTCTATGACTAATCTTGCCCTGCCTTTAAACCTTCATTTATTAATATCCTTCTCAGGTATCGATCCTAAACACGCCTATGCAGCCTATGCAGCCGGTCAGAAGTGGAATCGCTCCAGCCCCCCAGTTTTGTGAATTTTTAAACCTACCGACCATCCTCTAACCTACACGGTCATACGTGATCGTTCTATCTTAGGAGCTTGTACTTCAAAACGATATGAATTAACTATTACTTCTGCTAGGGACGTGTGATATCTGCGATCCTCTCGATGCTTACCAACATCAAATAAACTCTCTCAATCAAGTTTGTGAGCAAATGATAATGATGACTAATGTCATGCGCACGCACAGCTGTTTCATTGAAAGCTCAGTGCGAATTGCATCTGCTGAATAAGCGCATAATCAACTAAGAAAGGATGTTACGGATAAATAAAGAAATATGATCAACGACTATTTATCAACCAGACCTTATATCTAGTGACGGAACAAGGGAAAGCAAATCAAGAGATCGTGATTCGATTTATTCTTTTTTTTTTTTATTAACTTTATTTCCACACTAACAGACCGAAAAAAAAACACTACATACAATGAAAAATACTTACAATACAATGCTACAGTACGACATTTATCTACTACTTACTTTGTTATAGTTACAGTACTTACATTCCAGAAAACTTTTTCCCCTCCCCCTATTGTATGTATATGATATTATTTAGGCACGATTAACCCCGTTTACAGTTTTTACAATAACCTCTTGGATTTCTACCTTA